AGTTGCGTCTAATATGCCTGATTATTTGTCTTGAGTATTTTTCCATTCTTTTATGTATCTTGTCACTTCAGGAGTTGAATGATTATGGTACTCCACAACGTCTTATCTTTTGTAGCTCATAAAATTAGTTGTCTTTCATTATTACTCACAACCTCACTTTGCCATCTGTTTTATACAAGACGTTTTTCTTTGATGTTTTTACCCCAAACAAACTCAGAATTTATCTATCAATCTTCAGATAAGACTGGTGACGCTCAGGCTGTGCCAGTAGATATTGGCAGTTTGGTATACTGGCCTTATACACAACTTGTAGCCTACAGTGTCACAGGACGTCTATTTGGCTTAATCTAGTTGTTCCTAACCAATCGAGTGGTACCATATTTTTTCATAATAACGCAGGCTACACCAGGTCTAGATTCATGGACCTACGCTATTTCCGATCTCCTTCAATGATCTAAAGTATGTCATTACTTTCCAACTAGGTATTTATGCAGATTACATTATCATTAACTCTTGCCTTAGGAACAAATCTAAATATTGGCGCTGCCAAAACAACACTGCTTTCCTTTGACCACAACAGAGAAGCTTTCTTGCCTACTATCATGATGGCTGATGTAGAACTTCAGGAAAGCAAACTTCGATGCCTTTTTGGTCGCAAATTTTCCACTGTCATGAACCGGAGTGACTTTATCGAGTCAAATGTTAAGTCTGCTTCAAGGAAGCTTAGTTCACTGTGTTGTGCCAAAAGATTTTTCTCGTTTGAATCTATCTTACACGTTTACAAATCTGTCGTTCGTACGTATATTGAATACTGTTGCTATGTGTTGCTTGGTGTGTCGGTTGTGCATTTTGAGATTTTTGACAAACTCCAAAGAATTTTATGGAATAAAATATTTCCTGACCAGGAATCTCACTTTCTCACCGAAGTGAAGAGGCTTCCCTCTGTCTTTTCTACAAATATTTTTATGGGAAGTGCCCTGACTTCATGAAATTAAGTGTGCTACTAGTTTTGGCAGCTATGTCTCACCGTTTTACAATTGGACGAGATAGATGTATCTGTCATTTCTACTCTGACATTTTTTTCTCGAACTTCCCACCTGTGGAACTCATTTCCGATTTCTTGCTTCCCTGATAACAATTTTCAAAAATTTAAATGCAACGTCAAACTTCTGTTTTCTTGAACCCTGTTCTTTTTTTATGGCCTTTCCTTATTCCTCACAATTTTCAATCTTCTTATTCTCATTGATTTTTATTCAATGTAAGACCTTGCGTCTTAGTGGCATTGTTACCTTGCTTAGGGTGAAAGGATTAACTCGCATTCTATATGAATTTCTGTAATATGGCTCTATCATTATTTGTACTACTTACATACATATTGATCTCATCTTGTTATTATGAGAACGTTTCAGCCTTTGTACTCTACGGCATTCATCAAGTGGGTGTAGATCTGGGTAACCTACAGGGAATTTTGAACTGAACATTATGTTTAATGTACTGCTGGTAATATTTTTTCCAACAAAGTATTGCTGGTATTAAAATAAATTTTTATACTTTCATAGTATTTTGACAATTTTGGGGCAGTTAATTATTTGCCCATAGCTTGGTCAGCATAGGCCTGGGAACACCAGCAATTAAATGTTGGTTTCACTTTCCACAAAACCTCCTAATCAAAGGCCTTGCTGTCGGATGTAATTTATCGTCTTACCCAGGACACGGTACAAATTGGGGATATCACAATGCACGTACATAAATTTAAATATATGTTTTTTTTTAACAGAAAATGGAAAATGTGACACCGAAATCCGAAGAGGCATTGGATTAGAGGAAGATGCCTCCCAAACGCTAAGCAAAATATCACGAAACAGGAAATGTTCAAACAAATAAAAGAGAGTTGTGCTGGTTATCTAATATAAGTGTCGTATGTGGAGGTGATTTCTGGGCAAGATACTGCCAGACAGAAAGGAGACTTAAAACAAAATAAAGAAAATTCTACAGAAGAATGTTCGGTTTACCATGGAGAGACCACGTGATCAACAAGGAAGTTTTACGGAAAATGGCATAAAAAAAAAGAAAATTATAGGTGGAATCATAAAGTCAGTTGCAATTTTGGGGGCATAATGAGGAATAAAGACCTGGATATTTTGACATTGACAAGACCATATTGAAGTCAAGATGGAAATGAGGACAAAGCGAAAGCCTACTTATTAGGTATAATAGCTGAGTTGTTTAAAACATTAATCCGTCAGTTTAGTGACATTCTAATGTGTTTTCAATCTCTGGGACAGGCAGAGTGAGTACATAGGAATTAAATCCGATATATTTTATCAACCAATAAAATTCTATTAAAAGGTTTGTTGGGTAAACAATCATTATTAAGACAATTACTGAGGAAATATTGCAGACGTAGTTGTAGAGCTGCCACGTGTTAACCATGAATACATTTTTAAAAATATTACCAACAATGCATTGTTGTAAAAGAAAAATATTACCAGCAATGCATTTTTAAAAATATTACCAGCAGTACATTTTTGAAAAAGAAAAATATTACCAGCAATGCATTTTTGAAAAAAAAATACCAGCAATTCATTTTTGAAAAAAATATTATCAGCAATCTTTTTTTGAAAAAAATAATTATCTTGTCAGCATTAAATAACTCATTGAGGCTGATATACCGTAAAACAAACCAAACCAAAAACCAAATCGTATCTGACATCTTTGATTGTTCCTCTTGACAGTTAGTCCTTTCTTCCCGCATTTCTTTACTACCTTGGCTAGGAATTCTTACAGCTTTTCCTTTTTGAGTCTGCTATCGACACTGTATCTTCTGTGCATTTTATGTTGTTAAGATTGTGTTCACCAATATTAAATCCTGGTAGGACTTTTAGTTAACGTTACATAAATCCGGTGAGAAAGTTAGCTTTTTTTCATTTTTTCATTTTTCTGTTTTTGTGTTCTTACTGAATGTCATTTCTATCCGTAGATGAGCGGCTTGTTCCCGGTATTTAATTTGGATTATTCTAATATATTTCACCAAACCTGAACGGCTGTTTTAGAGAAATAGCAGTTTTTTTTTTCTTCTGAGATAATAGCCTTGTACTGCCAGAATGCAAGTGCCGAGAAAGAAATAAAGAAATGTGAAGAAAATTCTAGTAAAAAGTAATAAAGACAACAAATATTACACGGTAAGAATTAAAAAAAAAATACAACAAAAAAAGAAATAAAAACTTTAATTTCACTGTAGAATGAAGGAAACAAATCGAAACAAATGAAGGAAAATAAAATGCGCCAATATATTTGGAATAAATAAAGTAATATATCCCAAAACGGAAGGTAACACTAGAAAGGACATACAACAGGTTGACTAAAACGTTCTGTCAATAACAACCAAAACGATGACTAGCGTTCGAATGGAATAAATATCTAAATTAAGAAAACTATGAAAATACATAAAAGGTTATACAAATATATAACTATATATAGTTGAAATGGCTAGAGATTGTGTGCGTGCACAAGGCCTTAGCCTTAATTAAATAAGAACACTATGAAAGTATAAAAATTATTTCTTATAATAATCATAAGCTCTATGCTAACAATTTCTTGTATCGCACTTCTTGCTTGTGGAACTCTTTTTAGTCTTATTGCTTCCCTGTTAAATTTGTCTTCAAAATATTTAACGCAATATCAATATATTATTTTTGTTCTTTCATTGTATCCTCTCCTTAATAGTATTTTTTTTTTCTAATATTCTCTAACACTCAGTAACCCATTGTGACTTAGTGGCTTTATTAACTTGCTTGGGGTGAAATAATTTTTTTAAAAAAAGAAGGCTATAGAATATATCAGTAAACATTTTTTTACAATAATGTTCACCCTGTACAAGGCCCAAGAGCCACTCGAGGTAGAGGTTTACAGTTTATAGGGACATGTGGTGAAGATATCTGTTGATCCTAGACATGAACAGGTTAACCCTGCAATGATCGGAGAAGCATCAGATTAAGAGACGGGTCCACAAAGCAGCGGTTCCTAAGAAGAAGTTGCTGGAGTGGCGCTTACATCTCACCAATGGAATACAGAGGGGGTAATAAGGTTGGCTCGCTACAATGTAAGTGGTCCGGCGGGTCCAAGCCGTTAAGGTTAGCACTGGTGGAATCAAGAAATGTATTTCGTTTGAACAGTTTCCATGGAAATAACGATAAAGCTTACGAGGTCTCGTCTGTGGGAGAGGGATTGTAGAGTGGAAAATAATTCATCACCCACAAGGACGTGGAGACACTTTTGGACGTGAAAGTGAAGACCCGGCAACATATGCCCATATAAGGCAGCTGTACTATTTTCGGTCTTATCTAGCTCTTGTAAAGGTAAAGTATAGCAAAGGTTATCAAGTATTTAAAGGAGCGATTTGGGTAAGCGACCATTTTTTTCAGTATCTTTGGCGAGGTATTGTATGTAAGAATTTCTCTCGATGTAGCGTAGTGTTATCTGCGTATCTTGTCGTTAATATTATGGCGCCAATAATAAATCCTCGTAGGTCATCTCGTTCTCATCGGATCGTCTCGGTGTATAGGTTAAATAAATCACGTGATGAATCTCATCAGTCTTTCTCCAAATGAACATTTTAAATAAGTAAGTAAAAGAAGAACAATTAAACATTTATTTGTTTATTGATTTTTGCGTCGTCGATTCTCAATGTTTTTCTTTGATTTTTTTTCGTTTGTGTTTTACTACTTCACTTTTTTCTTTTACTTTTTTTCCACTCTTTTCTTTCAATACAGGTATTTCTCTTTTCGGTTCATTAATCTTTTCCATAGTACGTCTTTATACCAGGTTTCACAAACTTTTCTGCGTCATCAGTCACTTTCACATGGAAAAAAAATCAAAGGCATACCAAACTTCTTTGATAAAAAAGTTTTTTTAATGGTTCATAAACTGAATTTGTGATGGAGTAAAACATACCAAACCCCAAAATAACTGACTTATGCATCGGCTGGTGCTACTAAATTCAAATCACGCTGAAAACACCGGTTCTCGTTCGATCACCGAAGTTAAGCATCGTAGAGCCAGGTCAGTACTTAGATGGGGACCGCTTGGGAACACCTGGTACTGTAAGCCCCAAAGTCCAACCCTTACCTCACAGTCGGTGGGGGGTGTAAACGGTAGTGTCAGAGCTATGCCGCCCGGAACTTCGTTCCTGGTAGGGCCAACCAAGGCGGACAGGTCTGACACACACGCCGGCTAACAAGGGCTCTGGTGAAAATCCAAGGAGCGTCTGCATCGGTAACCGGCGGCTTCTGGTCGTTCCTGTCTCTGCGTCTGTGGGAACCCCGCGGCAAGCAAGAACGTTATTCGAGTAGGCCTGGGTACCCTACTTTTGTAATTTATCCCAAGAATCTTCTTCTCATAACAGGAAGAAGCCGGCTCAATCCGCCCAGGGTGAATGCCACAGTAGTACAGTACTAATACATAACAAAACGAAAGCAAATTTTACCACTGAAAACGAAATCGAATTTAATTTTATGTACAAGTTTAATTTTATATTTAGGGTGATCGTTCCAAGTGTTGACAAAAAAAATAAACTATTTTTCTTCATAATTATAAACTTCAAAAGAATATACACAGCTATAAAGTAATAAAATTTCAGCGAATTTTTACTGTTGTTCTTAATCTTCCTTTATCTGATTTGTATCTGAAAAAGATGTTACTTCCACTGACGTACTATTTGAATGTCAGCCCATCTTCAAAATATAGAAAAAAAAAAAAGACAAACTGTAGTTGTTTTCAGGGATATATATATATATCTTATCTAGAAATGAGGATCAGTTATTGATTTTAGCCTACTGTTCTTGGGGTCTTTTACAAGTCTCGTTGTAAATCTTCGAATATTTTGGGGGTAACACATAATGAAATACTTTGTAATACTCAAAATATTATATCACCTCCCAAAATTTCCAGTCACCCACGATTTTCTTTTCATTTCCTCATCGCTCACCCAACAGTTACAGTTGTCCGCCTGAGAACTTGGAACTTTAAACCTTACTTACCTTCTGATTAGTGCTGCTGCTTCTTATCATGTTTATCTCCACTTACTGAATCTTTTCTCTTTCGTCACAGCTGCTGAAATCTTTCCGCCATCTTTATTGATGGCGCTCATATTTTATTTATTTCTCTGCTAGGCCTACTAAGGAAGTTTACTGGTTCCAATTATTTTTGAATGACTGCATAAACATTACCCTCCAAAATCTATAGATAAAAAAAAATACTGCTGCATGCTGAGATTTCTTCCGAGTCAAAAAGATATGCCACTTCTCGGTCTCATCCGCCATGTTTTTTTTTTTTTTGTCTTGAAGGCAGAACGTTGCGATCCGTTTCTGTATTCCTTTTGTGTGTTAACACCTGTTGTGAATATGGATTATCTCCTCTTTGATAATCCAAGCTAATAAAGCTGTACACTTCCGCTTGTCAAGTCAGACGAGTAGTAGTATTCTTAATTGAATAAAAGATTACTAGACAGAATCTTTTGTCCTGTTTTCATTACAACACCATTCTTAGTTCGTGAAATGTTTTGGTCTCATTACTGTTGCTTTGCCTATTTTTATCTTGCATATATTGTTTGTTTAGTATTATTTTTACCCTGTTCTTTTCTTCATTTTAATATTGTTTATTGCAAACTTTGTCAATTCCGATTGTTGGGTATTTCTGACAATTACATTTTAACATAGCCAGTTATTCTACAATGTCTTCAAGGCTTAGCATATGAACTGATTATTTCACGTGTCTAACTCCCCAGTGTTCTTTATTTTTACTTCATTCCACAGGGATTGATTACTATCATTTTCTCTCTATACATGGTCAGCCATATATGAGTTCAGTTGGAAATTGCTTTTTGGTTAACTGGATTGCCATACACCTGATAAAGACCTGGGACAACAGCCGAAACGTTGTTATAATAACAAAAACGATAAGCTCAATAGTCCTTATGTATGTAATGTAAATAATGATGACTCCTAATCCCAGAAATTAAGACAGAAACTCATAGGACATATTGTATGAAAGACGGGTAGAAAAAAAAACAGCTAGTAATCTACCTCATGCGTCTGAGTGAATGAATGACAGGGGAGAAATATTGGTAAAGCGCCAAAACGTTGCAACAAGGAACAGGAATCTGTGGTGATCTTTACCCGCCCACGCCCTGACGGAACTCGTCACATAAAATAGGGGTAAGTAACAAAGAATATGGGCAACTACAACCAACTGTTAAATTGGGTTGCATTGTCACTGTCAGTTTTTTTGTATAATCTTAGATGTTTTTCTTAGTTCTAGGCAAACGCCAACAAATTTCGTCATTTGCATTCTATTTCAGCTTACGTTGATTTTGGTACTGCAGTATTGCACTCAATTTGAAAGTTGAGGTTTTACATGACAAATAATGGCACACGATACATTTTTTTTCAAATCCTTACCGATGTTTTGAAGAAACGAGTTTAAAGATTAAGTTTAGTTTCATTCCAATGATCAGTGAAATCCTTAAAGCGCAAGCTTATAACATTTATAATTAACCAAAGCTTTACAAATTGTACATGGACAAAATGCATGGCATAAACACATTCAGTCATTTATATTCCATGCGTGATACACGCTTATGTGATCATGTATCTTTCAATACATGATGACGAGGTAATAGAATGCAGTCTGTCATGCTATTTACCCATAGCTGGGGGTGGAGAAGAAGAGAATATAATGGATTTGACTGGAATTCGAACTCGGCTCTACGATTCCTCAATCCGAGCCGATGTCCATTAATCCATCTTACCTTCTTGGCACAAACACATTACTTAAATTATTTAGTAGGCACAAACACATCATTACTAAATCACTGTTTCATTTACTTCAAAGGGAAATTATACGGAACAATTTATCGATATTATTAAGTAATATTTTATACAGTGCAGTAGATTTTGTGCGATTTTCAATAAACAATGCAAACTTAAAACATTTTGTCTTATAATTTGTTCCAAGCAGTTATATACAATTTTTTCTATTTTAATGTTTTTATTAATTATGACCTAAAACTTATTCTCACAAAGGATCTAACAAATCGTATTCATTGAGTAGCCTTTTATATAATTATTTAAGATTTGTTTTTTTTTTTTACTTATCGAATAGAATTGCATATTTTGCTTGTGGTGATTCATAATTAGAATTCTAGTTTGAATATATTTTCCTTTCAATATTTGTAATACAAAAGATAGCAACTTTATTTGGATTTATTCTTGAAATAGTAACATTATGTAAGCAAAAACTACCTAAATTAGGTATTTCTGTACATATTTCGGACGAGATTTAAAACTAAATGCTCAAAAATTGATAAAAAGCATGAATCTACTTTTTCGTGTCACTACTTAGCACACGAAAACACAGCTTGCAAAAATAAGTGCAATGTTGATTTTCTAGACAACGTGAAAAACAAACCAGTCCTACTTCTACAGCTGAAGGCTAAAAACATGAGGGACATTTTCAATGATATATAATAGCTTGGCCTTGTGATATTTTAATTGCAAGCCGTTTCAGTAGGGTCAGGAAAAGTCGGATCTGCTGACATGAGGATGGCGTCCATATTGTTTTTTTTAGGCAGTAGCTGAAGGCTGCGGCTCATTCCAGATTCATTTCATTGCTTTTACGCTACTGTTCCACCGGAAAAGGTTTCATGATCAAACTAACATAGAATGTTACGAAATGAGGTTGTTTTATGAGCATACAAACTGTAGATCTTGAGGATATGTAGGATAGATAGCGGTTGATCTTAGACTTGGAGAGGTTAAGATTGTAGTAGCCGGGAAGCAACAGATAGCATGCGTAGGCTGACAAAGAAAAACAAGTATAATAAACCGAGTGAAAGATGGAAATCTCTAAAGTGTTCATGTTGTAAAGACATAGTTCTTAACTTTTGACCGACAGTGTGGCAACATTTAATATTTAACTTAACCTAACATAGAAAAACAATCATATTGAATCCAGTAAAGCAGTAATGGCTTGAGAGACGATTTTGGTAGCCACATCTTTTGATGTGTTCCTATGTATATATCTGTGCATGCATATGTCCGGCTTTGTGTGCTAATGGATGCTTAGGTCGCATGGCTTGTTTTGGATTTTATCGGTCTTGTTAAGTGGAGTCAATATTCTAGTAAGCAGTAAGAGGCAATTAGCGTGGACGGAGTTGAGCCGATGCGAAGGTCGAATGGGTAGTCAGAAGAATGGACTTAGCAGGAAGTGGTTTAAGTAATGGAGAAATGGACAAAGAATGAATGCTTCGTAATATGAAATGGCGGTTGGGTAGCGTTGATGATCATCGGTTTAGGAGAAATGACCTAGAAGACGTCACACATTGTATGACTCCGAAATCCGAAGGCATATTGGAAGAGTGAAAGATGCAATCAAGAAGAAAAAAGACAAAACAAAACAAAAAAAAAACAAAAAAAAACACGAAATATTGAGAAGAAAGGAAACTTTCTTTAGAAACGAAGATAACTGTACTGAAGTTCTATGCTGTATCAATGTTCCTATGTGGCGACGAATTTAAATATCTGGAAAGTGTATTGCACCAATACAAGCCATCAGGTTGAAATAAACATAAACAATTATACAAAGTAAATTTCTTGAAAAACAGAAATTTCAAATCAGTTACACATCAGCCAAATAGTTCATATATAAACTTAAAAATCATGTCCCTATATGTGGGATTCCATATATGAAGCACTCCGGATACGAGGGATTCTATACATATATACATTTATATACACACACACACACACACACACATATATATATATATATATATATATATATATATATATAATGTGTGTGTGTGTGTGTTTTAGTTTTTTGTGTGCTGTTTAGGATTGGGTTTCCAATCCATTCTCTCTCTCTCTTTCACTTCCAGCAGTCCCTTGCATCTTAGTGGCATTTTCACCTTGCTTGGAGAGAAATGTTTAAAATTATATGAAATAAAAATAGAAAGATACTCATGAAAATTCCAGTCATGGACGCCACATGAAATCTTGGAATGAGCACTTCTTTTTTAAAAAAACAACAGAAAACATAATTTACAATGTA